GGGTCCATTGGGATTGTGTACAGTGGGAGTGAATGGGAAGGCGTTCGGGTCCATTGGGATTGTGTAGAGTGGGAGTGAATGGGAAGGAGTTTGGGTCCATTGGGATTGTGTAGAGTGGGAGTGAATGGGAAGGGGTTCGGGTCCATTGGGATTGTGTGCAGCGGGAGTGAATGGGAAGGGGTTTGGGTCCATTGGGATTGTGTACAGTGGGAGTGAATGGGAAGGGGTTTGGGTCCATTGGGATTGTGTACAGTGGGAGTGAATGGGAAGGGGTTTGGGATTGGGATTGTGCACAGTGGGAGTGAATGGGAAGGGGTTTGGGTCCATTGGGATTATATACAGTCGCAGTGAATGGGAAAGGGTTTGGGTCCATTGGGATTGTGTGGAGTGCGAGTGAATGGGAAGGGGTTTGGATTCATTAAGATGAAGAAAACCTCCCTATCTCCCCATTTCCCAACCAACTGATCACATGCACCCACTGGATTCTTTTCCTGCAGAGATACCAGATTGAAGGCCCTACTCACCTGGCCAGTCTTTGAGCTATCCACAGAACAATCTGGAATAATCTTCGACAGTTGCACGATCCAGTTGTTGATTTTATCCCGTCTGCGTCTCTCCACTGGGTTAAGGGATAAGGCAGAAACAGGGAACAACAGAAAAAGACAGTCACAACAATGGAGAGGGGGCAGGGTGAGTGGTACCACAGTTTGGGGGGCAGGGTGGGGGGGGTCCCACAGTTTGGGTGGGGGTGGGTGAGGGGTCCCACAGTTTCGGGGGGAAGGGGTGAGATGTCCCACAGTTTGGGGAGGGACGGGGTCGGTGATTTTGGGGATTTTTGATTCTGTCCAATGAGGGCAGGACTTATACACTGGTCCTGGGGAGTGTTGCTAAACAAAGAGACCTTGGAGTGCAGGTTCATAGCTCCTTGAAAGTAGAGTCGCAGGTAGACAGGGCGGTGAAGGAGGTGTTTGGTACACTTGCCTTTATTGGTCAGTGCATTCAGTGTAGGAGTTGGGAGGGTCATGCTGCAGCTGTACAGGACATTGGTTTGGCCACTTTTGGAATATTGTGTTCCGTTCTGGTCTCCCTGCTACAGGAAGGATGTCAAAGTTGAAAAGGTTCAATAAAGATGTTTCTGGGACTAGAAGGCTTGAGCTAAAGGGAGAGGTGGAATACGCTGGGGCTGTTTTCCTGGAGCGTCAGAGACTGAGGGGGTGACCTTACAGTGGTTTATAAAATCATGAGGGGCATGGATGGGGTGAATAGACAAGATCTTTTCCCCCAGGGTAGGGGAGTCCAAAACTAGAGGGGCATAGGTTTAAGGTGAGAGGGGAAAGATTTAAAAGGGACCTAAGGGGCAACTTTTTCAGACAGAGGGTGGTGTGTGTATGGAATGAGCTTCTAGAGGAGGCTGGTACAATTACACATTTAAAAGGCATCTGGATGGGGACATGAATAGGAAGGATTTAGAGAGATATGGGCCAAATGGGACTAGATTTTTTTTTATATGTTAATGGGAGGAGAATGTTGCTGTCCAGGCAGCATTTATTGCCCATCCCTAATTGCTCAGAGGGCAGTTCAGAGTCAACCACATTGCTGGGAGTCTGGAGTCACATGTAGGCCAGACTAGGTAAGGATGGCAATTTCCCTCCCTAAAGGGCATTAGTGAACCAGATGGGTTTTTCCCGACAATTGGCAATGGTTTCATGGTCATTCTTAATTCCAGGTTTTTTTTTATTGAATTCAAATTCAACCATCTGCTGTGGCAGGATTCGAACCCAGGTCCCCAGAACATTACCTGGGTCTCTGGATTAACAGTCCAGCGATAATACCACTAGACCATTGCTTCCCCCATTTAGGATATCTGGTAGTGATTAATTTCGGATATCTGGTCAGCACGGATGAGTTGGACAGAACAGTCTGTTTCTGTGCTGTACATCTCTATGACTGTATGAGACACACTTACCCTCATTATGCTGCGCTCGTCTCTTATCATCTCGGGCAACCCGGGGATTTTCCAACTTTCTGAAAAAGAGAGACACAAAGTGAGTGAGAAAGTGAAGGGGAGAGAGGGGGAGAGAGAGAGAGAGAGACAGAGTAATTGAGAAGGTGAGGGGGGGGAGAGAGAGAGAGACAGAGAGACATAGAGTGATTTGGAAAGTGAAGGAGAGATAGAGTAAGGTAGAGTGAGAAAGTGAGGTGGAAAGAGAGTGAGGGAGACACTGTGAGAGTGAGATACGGAGTGAGTGAGAAAGCGAGGTAGATTGAGAGTGAAAGATGAGACAGAGTGATTGAAAAAGTGAGGTAGAGGGAGAGTGAGGGAGACACTGTGGGAGTGAGATACGGAGTGAGTGGGAAAGCGAGGTAGAGAGAGAGTGAAAGATGAGACAGAGTGATTGAGAAAGTGAGGTAGAGAGAGAGTGAGGGAGACACTGAGAGTGAGATACAGAGTGCGTGGGAAAGCGAGGTAGAGAGAGAGTGAGGGAGACACTGTGACAGTGAGATACGGAGTGAGTGGGAAAGCGAGGTAGAGAGAGAGTGAGGGAGACACTGTGAGTGAAATACGGAGTGAGGGGGAAAGCGAGGTAGAGAGAGTGAGGGAGACACTGTGAGAGTGAGATACAGCGTGAGTGGGAAAACGAGGTAGGGAAAGAGTAAAAGACGAGACAGAGTGATTGAGAAAGTGAGGTAGAGAGTGAGGGAGAGACAGTGAGTGAGAGAGTGAATTAGAGAGAGTGAATGAGAAAGTGAGTTAGACAGAGTCTTGTCATCTCGCCTGGCATCCATGTTGGATCACATGCTCCACCGTGACCAGACGTACGCTGTCCTGGTCCGGAGGATCCACGATAACATCCATGCGGTCTGGGACCTGATCCACTTTTCCCCAGAGAGCTGGCCTGCTGAGCGCCTTCCTGCTTGCTGGGGCTGGTCCTGCGCAGTCTGGGCACGGGCGTGATCCTTTCGGCTAACGCCAACGACGCGCTCCTCACATTCACCAACCCGGGGAGGATGCGCGAGTGTCAGGCAGTGTACCCGACAGCATCTTCTGCCAGGATCAACTGGGCCAAATGTTCTAGACGCCTGGTCGCTCCGCGGCTGGTAAATTCTTTGCCAGAGGAGGTACACCTGGAGTACCGCCCATCTCCTCTATCTGTGGGAGCTCTACCTTAGCCCGGCTGAGGGATCCTGGCCGGGGGGATGAATTGGCAGGAGCTGGAGGCCAAAGTCTCAGCTCGCCTAGGCCGCTGGACAGGCCTGCTCTGAGTGCTGTCTTACAGGAGCAGAGCTGCTCATAAACCAGCTGGGGGCCTCC